GAACAAGAAGTTTTATTTTATTTATTTAAAAGATTTTATTTATTTATTTGACAGAGACACAGCAAGAGAGGGAACACAAGCAGGGGGGAGTGGGAGAGGGAGAAGCAGGCTTCCCGTGGAGCAGGGAGCTGGATGGGGGGCTCGATCCCAGGATCCCAGGATCATGACCTGAGCCGAAGGCAAATGCTTAACAAGTGAGCCACCTAGGCGGCCCAAGTAAGAAGTTTTAAATGGAGAAAGTGTCATATTTAGAATCTTATTGCAATGTTATTTTTTTTTAAAGATTTTATTTTTAGGTAATCTCTACACTCAGCATGGGGCTTGAACTCACAATCCCTGAGATGAAGAGTTGCATGTTCTACTGACTGAGGCAGCCAGGCGTCCCTTTTACAATATAATTGAATTCAACCAACTAGTAACATTTGATGGTACACTAGCTGTAGCATTTATATTCAATGTTTTTCATATATCTGACCTTTAAATTCTCTTCAAATCTCACTGCTTTTATTTGCTTGGGTGTGTGTGTCCTAGATGTTCCATCCATATTCAAAACAGCCTTGTCTTAGTATCTGTCCATCAATCAACAGAATCAGAGTGGGAATTTTGTTGATAACAATGGAGGTACTGAAGTGAAGATCGTTTTTATATTTTAAAGGCCACCTTTTGTGGGTATTAAATGTAGGGACATTTGTAACTGTTGCAGTCTTTAGGACAAAATGAATTTAGGTTGAATATATTAGTTATTAGGTGATTCTGTGTATTGTATAGGATTTTCCCAGGATTGGTTCCTTTATCATGCCATTTAATGCTTCCAAATTATTAGTTCTATCTAATGAAGTTATGAGACAGAGAAGGGAGGAGCCGTGAAGAGGATAGGGAAAAAGCATACAAATATTGAAGGAAAATGTTTGGATCCCTTCTCAATTCAAGATCATTTGAAATGAAGGCACAGTACTTAGAAAATACTTGATTTACAGTTTTTCAGGCATGCATTCTACTGTGTACTTCAGCATACAGAACTATGCATGCAGCTCCTTTGCTCAGACCAAATGTTCTTGCAAGACACTACTAACTAACTTTGTGGTGGGTGGTGAGATAGTAGATTCTGAGTCACACAGTACAATTTCCGGAGGGTTGATAATACATTTGTGTATAATACAGATTTGACTGTAAGGGGCCAGCCAATACAATATGGTCAGAACCCATTAAGGAGTAGTATTAACAAAGTATGATGATCGCAGACTTTCTTGAGCTCTGGGCCTATGAACTTTAGTGCTAGTTGACCACAGTAGAACATTTGCTGCTTTGGGATTAGTCTTCTACACCTAGGTAAAACATAGCTCAATAGTTTTCTTTTCAGTTTTCTTTGCCTGAAAAATGTGTTGGCTATTTGTACTTCTAGAATATATCTTTGAGAACAGTTGTAGAAAAACCACTGTAAGAAACGTTGTGGCAGGTACAGGGAGGGAAATTTTTGTTTTTGCTTTTTTGTATTTGTCTCAGTTATGTAAGTTAAAATGAAAAAAAGAAGTGACCTTTCCTGGCAGTGGAAATACTCTTAAGTTGTAATGAATATGACATTGACATTTGGCCAAGGTTCTTTGGGAAATACAAAATAGCTCCAATGTAAGTACAACTCCTTTCCTTAGAGCTTATCTTTTGGTAATGGAGATAAGGCAAACAGTTTCATACTTTGGGTCAGAAAAATGTAAGAATATAAAAATATGAAGGGTACGTGAGTGGCTCAATCAGTTGAGCATACTACTCTTTGTTTTGGCTCAGGTCATGATCTCACGGTCATGAGATCAAGCCTCACATGGGGCTCTGTGCTCATTGTGGAGTCTGCTTGAGATTCTCTTTTTCCCTCTCCCTCTACCCCCCCCCAACTCACACTCTCTTTCTAATAAATAAATCTTTAAAAAAAAGAATATAAAAATATGAAAACATAAATATGACATGGCCTATACTTAAAAAAATAGCTTTATTGAAAAAAAGAAAAAATAGCTTTCTTGAGATATAATTCACATATCATACAATTCAACCATTTCAGTGGTTTTTATCATGCTCACATAATTGTGCAGTTATCAGCATAATCAATTTTAGTACATCTTCATACCTCGAAAGAAAACTATACCCATGTAACCACATGGTGACTATAGTTAGTGATACTGTATTGCATATTTGAAGGTTGATAAGAGAGTAGATGTTAAAAGTTCTCATAATGGAAAAAATTTTTGTAATTATGTATGGTGACAGATGTAGCCTGATGTGGTGAGCATTTTGCAATATATACAAATAGGGAATCATGCTGTACACCCAAAACTCATAATGTGGTATATCAGTTATACCTCAGTTAAAAATAAACAAAACACTATACCTATTAGTAATCACTCCCCAGCTGTAGGCAGTAACTTGTCTATTTTCTGTCTCTGTTTGCCTATTCTGAGTAGAGTAGAATCATATAATGTGGTATTTTGTAACTGGCTTCTTTCACTTCGCACAAGCTTCATTCATGTTGTAGTATGTGTCAGTACCATATTCCTTTTAATTGCCAAATAGTGTTCCATTTTATGGATATACTAAATTTATCCATTCATTAATTGATGGACATTTGGATTGTTCCACTTTTTGGCTGTTATGAATAGCCAAATACTAGCATTATGAACATTTATGCGCAAGCTTTTGTGTGGACCTAGGTTGTCACTTCTAATAATATAATATACTATAATATAATAGATGATATAATATCTCATAGATAATATATATCTAGGAGTGGAATTGACAGTTCATATGCCAGCTCTCTGTGTAACTTTTTGAGGAACTGCCAGACTGTTTTCCAAAGTAACTACACCATTTTACATTCCCATCAATAATGTATGAGGTTTCCAATTTCTCCACATCCTCCCTAACATTTGTTATTATCTGTCTTTTTGACTATCATTACGCTAGTGGGTGTGAAGTGGTATCTCATTGTATTTCGGATTTACATTTCCCAATGTATAATGATTTTGAGCATCTCTTCTTCTGTTTATTGGCCATTTTTGTATCTTTTTTTTTTTTTTGAGAGATGTCTATTCAGATCCATTGCCCATTTAAAAATTGGATTGTCTTTTTATTATTGAGTTTTAAGAGTTCTTTATGTTTTCTGATACAAGTCCCTTATTAGATATATAATTTACAAATTATTTATAAATTTGTTCGATTCTGTGGGTTGTCTTTTTACTCTCTTAACAGCATCCTTTGAAGTACAAAAGTTTTTCATTTTGATGCTGTCCAGTTTATCTATTTTTTTTGTTTTTGCTCGTGCTTTTAGTGTCTAAGAAACCATTACCTAACCCAACATCATGTGAGTTTACCCTAATGTCTTCTTCTAAGAGTTTTATAGTTTTAGCTCTTACACATTTATGTTTGTGATCTTTTGGAATCAATTTTTATGCATGATGTTCATTCTTTGCATGTGGATATCCAGTTGTCCCACCACCATTTTCTGAGAAGACTGTAGTTTTCCCACTGGATTGTCTTGTCAAAATTGTTGGCCATAAATGTGACAGTATATTTCAGGACTGTCTGTACCATTGTTCTATGTGCCTGTCCTTCTGTCCTTATACTAGTGTAGCACCGCCTTGATTATGTAGCTTTGTAGTTAAGTTTGACATTGGTGAGTGTGGTCTTTCTACTTTGTTCTTTTTCAAGAATATTTGTCTATTCCAGGTCTCATGCATTTCTGTATAGATTTAGGATCAGCTTGGTTAAAAAAAAAAAAAAAGCTATCCTGGGATTTTGATAGGGATTACCTTGAATCTTGTAGACCAGTTTGGGTGTATTGCTATCTTAATAGTATTAAGTCTTTCAATTCATGAACGTAAAATAACTTTCCATTTATTTAAGTCTTGAATTTCTTTCAACAGTGTTTTGGAATTTTCATTGTACAAGTTTTGTACTTCCTTTTTTTTTTAAAGATTTATTTATTTATTTATTTGTCAGAGACACAGTGAGAGAGGGAACACAAGCAGGGGGAGTGGGAGAGGGAGAAGAAGGCTTCTTATGGAGCAGGGAGCCCGATGTGGGGCTCGAACCCAGGACCCTGGGATCATGACCTGAGCCAAAGGCAGACGCTTAACCGACTGAGCCACCCAGGCGCCCCTTGTACTTCTTTTAAATTTATTTCTAAGTAGTTGAGTCTTTTTTAAAAAAATTTTTATTGTTATGTTAATAACCATACATTACCTCATTAGTTGTTTAAATTTTTATTGTTATGTTAATCACCACACATTACATCATTAGTTTTTGATGTAGTGTTCCATGATTCATTGTTTGTGCATAACACCCAGTGCTCCATGCAGAATGTGCCCTCTTTAATACCCATCACCAGGCTAACCCATCCTCCCACCCCCCTCCCCTCTAGAACCCTCAGTTTGTTTTTCAGAGTCCATCGTCTCTCATGGTAGTAGTTGAGTCTTTTTGATGCTATTATAAATTGTTTTCTTAACTCCATTTTTGGGTTTTTTATTGCTGATGTATAGAAGCACAACAGATTTGTGTATGTTGATCTTGTATCCTACAACTTTGTAAGACTTGTTTATTCTAATAGTTTTTAAATGGATTCCTTATTCTATGTACAAGATGATATCATTGTACATAGAGATAGTTTTACTTCTTTCTTTTCAATCTGGATCCCTTTTGTTTATCTTGCCTAACTGCCCTGACCAGAACTTCTAGAACGATGTTGAATAGAAATTGTAGTCATCGGACTTCCTTGTCTTATTCCTGATGTTTGAGGGTAAGTCTCTAAGGTAAACCACTAAGCATGATGTTAGCTGCAGGTTTTTATAGATGTCCTTTATCAGGTTGAGAAGTTCCCTTCTATTCCTAGTTTTTTTGGGTGTTTTTATCATGAAAGAGTGTTGTATTTTTGTCAAATGATTTTTCTGAAATAAATTAATTAAAAATGACCATTTTCTCTGTTTTTTTTTTTTCTTCCTCTCTTTTTTTATCCGCAGAAATTGACTTGCATACCAAATGTGTGGTGGATGTAGATGCAAACAAGGTTATACTTAGTCCTGTAAATACTAATCTTTCCAAAGGAGATGCCCGGTAAGTTAAGAAACAGTGTTATGTTCAATGGATTTTTTAAATGACTGAAAGCAGCAATGGCTGCTGAGCTGAGTTCAGCTCAGCAAATAACAAATGCTTCATTACTGTGTAGAGAGACACATAGCTGTCGAGTCAAAGAGGCGAGGTCTATAATATGGAATGACTAAGTGCCAGGATGGGTGTTGTAGATAGCAGTTGTATCAGAAGCTCAAAGAGAGCTTTAGGGCAGAAGGTAGAGTAACAGGAAGCCTTCTTGAAGGAGACGGTACCAGCTAGAAGATTAGTAAGACATAAATGGGAGGTTGGGTAGAAGAGAAGACCTTTAGGTTGTTCCTCAGCTTGGGTTGTTTTTACTTCTGCCACATTGAATCCTGTTAGTTAGAGCCCATTTCAGGTGCTACTTTTTCCACAAGGCATTCCTGCATCCTTCAGTGACTCCTTTCCTCTAAATCCTTGTAAACTGTAATCTGTATCACCTAACTGAATTAGTATACATTGTTTTGGATTGCTACTTGTAGCTGTTCGGTGGATTTTAAGGTCTTGGAGGGAAGAGACTCTCTGTCAGGGGTTGAAGATAATCGCTTCTGGATTTGGATGATAGTATGAACAAAAGGAAGGGCCAGAAAGTGTACAGAAAACGAATTTGGGGAAGAGGCAAGAGATTCATTTGGTTTTTCTCAGCAAGTGTAGGGAAGTTAATTTAATCAAACAAGCTAGGTTCAGATTACAGAAGACCTTGAAAGCCAAGAAGGAAATTTGACCTATATTTTTATGGGTAAGATAACATCTTTGACAGTTTTTTAATATTGTGGTTAAGGGGGTGGATTAGGAAAAGTTGTCAGTTGGCCGTGTAGAGAATGGTTGCAAGTGGGGAAAAACTGGCTTTTCATAGAGATCAGCTTGATTTCAGAGATGTTTTTCTACTGACCCTGGAAGTAAATTACACAAATTAGAGAGACAGTACCACCCATGGTGCTTTGCTGGAAGTAGATACTTAAATTTGTAGAGACAATGTTGTGTATGGAAATACATACAGAAGACACTCCATAAATGTTCTTTCAGGTTGAGTCATTGAGTTGAAAGGGCATTTCTGACTTGGAGTCAGAAAATCTTAAACCCCTACTTAACTATGTTGTTTTTAACTAATAGCTTCTAAACTAGTAACTATTTTTAACTTTTTTGAGTCTTATCTGTATGGTGTATGCCTTACCACTCTCATAGAAGTGTTTTCTGAAGATCAAATTAGTGATTGTTAAAGTGTTCTGTAAAGTGCTCTGTAACTGTTTGGGCTTATTGTCTTTGATATAGAGCTATTTCATAAGTATCACTAGGATATGGGTACTATCAGATATGATGTTATTAGGGTGTAAAGGGTATAGATGTGTCAAAAATGATGCTAGGATTTTGAGCTTGCTCATTGATTGATCTGTTGTTCTGAGTATTAACTGAAATCATTAATATGGGAGGCTGTTTAATGCTCTTAGAATTTGAATTCTGGAGATTGTTGCTTTATTTAGAAATGTGGTTACCTCTGAACAAACTTGGAGGCAATATCCTATGGTAGAAAGAGTGTAGGCTTTATCTGTAGACTGACTTGGATTCAAATTCTGGCTTTGCCACTTGGTAGAATGGTTACCTACCTGTGTTCCTTATTTATAAAGTGTTTTAGTTTTCTAAATTTTCTATTGCTGCATAACCAATTATCTTTAAAAGCTTAGTGGCTCAAGGCAACAGTAATCATTTATTAGCTCATGGTTTCTGTGGGTCAGGAATTCAGACAGGGCTCAGCAGGGATGGCTTGTCTCTGCCTCATGCTGTCCAGGGCATAGCTGGAAGACTTGAAGGCTGGGGATTGGAATCATCTGGAGATGGCTCTGTCACCCAGATCTGGTGGTTGATGCTGCCTGCTGGCTGGAGAGGTAGCTGGGGCGGTAGGCAGAATACCTGCTCACAATCTGGTGTCAGGTTCCAAGGGTAAGTGTCCTGAGAGAGCGAGAAAGCCCGGTGGAGGTAGCATTGCCTTTTATGTCCTAACCTTGGGAGTCACACAGTATCTTCTGTCACATTCTCTTACTCAAGGCTGATCTAAAGCTCTAAACAATTTCTAGAAGAGGAAATACAGACTCATCTTTTAATGGAGGAACATTAGCGTCACATAAGAAAAGCCTTTGGGGTGAGATGTGTGTTATTGTTGCTGCCTTTGGAAAACACAGTCTGCCACAAGTGTGTAATAGTATCCACCTGATAAGTTGTTGTGAGAATAAAACGACAACATAAAAGCTGAAAAAATATTTTTTCTTTCCTTTTGAGGTCTTTAAATCTCAAGGGTTTGTGAAAGGATTAAATAGCGCTTCTAGAATATCTTGGATGGCTCTTTTTTCCATATGCTGCAGATACAAATTGAATATCACTCAGTGCTATAGAGGATTGTTCGATAAAAAACTTTAAAAAATGCCAACTTCCAATAAGGTTGGTATGTAATGGTTTTTGATGAAGTAAAGTTAAGCACAGATTTTTAAAGAACAGCTTTTATAGAGTGAAGTGTATATAGCTTGATAATTTTTCATAAGTTGAACATAATTCCTGTAAGTGGCACCTAGATAAAAACTGAGAACATAGCTGGGGCACCTGCGTGGCTCATTCAGAAGGGCATGTGACTCTTGATCTCTGGGTCGTGAGTTCAAGCCCATGTTGGGTGTAGAGGTTACTAAAAAATATAAGTGAAAAAAAAAAAAAAGAACATTGTTAGTATAATAAAAGATTGCCTTTGGAGAAGTGCTTTTTCTTTTCTTGGCTTTTTTAATTTTATTGATTTATTTGAGAGAGAGAAGGAGCAGAGAGAGGGGCAGAGGGAGAGGGAGAAGCAGACTCTCCACTGAGCAGAGAGCCTGGACGGACATGGGGCTCGATCCCAGGACCCTGAGATTGTGACCCGAGCCGAAGGCAGATGCCCAACCGACTGAGCCACCAGGCTCCCCGAAAAGTGCTTTTTCTTTTAATATACTATCAAGGTGAAAAGAGAAAATAGAAATTTTGTAATGTAACGGTCTAGCAGTACATGTTGACTTCATTAAATGTGAAGAAAAATTGGAAGAAAACATAAATTAAAAGCTATTTTATGTGATATGAAGTTAATTACAGTCTAGTTTGTAGAATGATTAATCCATAAAACAAGTTATGGTTTTATAGGGGCTATATTTGTAACTAGAGAGTTAGGAATTTAAAGTTAACATGTAAGTGATTTGAGTCCGTTTAAATTAGTAGTCAGAAAGGCTCAAATTAATATTTTTTCTTTAAAAGCTATAAAATCCTTGCTTTTAGAATAGTATCCAATTCTGTTTACTCTAAAACCATGACTAATTTTATATGTATATTTAACAACTCAAGTTAGTATACTTTGAAAGTGGACATATATACTTTTAAAATAATGATTTGTAATTTTTCTGATTAATTTTGTATTAACTTCTGGCAGTTTCACGATTTGATGTTTGTGCTTATTAAAACTAATAGAAACCCTGGTTAAATGAATGGGTAAACCATTTCTAGTGTAACAGCTTAATCATGGAGATTTGGGAAACATTTCCTGCTGTGCTGTATATGGGATTTTAAAACTGTTCTGAAAAATAAGATGCTTAAAATTCAGAAAATTATAACACAAGGCTAAGAGATTAAGAATGCTGACTTTGGAGCCAGAAATCCTGGATTGAATGTCACCTTCACCACTTACTGTGTGTGCTGTGGAGCAGGTTACTTAATTGTCCTCTGTCTCAATTTATTCATTGGTAAAGTGGAGATTATAATAGTACCTTTCAGTAGGTTGTTATGACAATTAAAACAATTTAAAATATGTAAAATGGCAGTGCCTGGTATACAATAAACCTTATATAAATGTTAGCTGTTACTTTTACTGTTATTGTTATTATGGGCTGCATTTATGATATGTTTGGTGAGCTATAATACAACTTCAGAAAGGAAGTAAAAATTTTTTTAAAGATTTTATTTATTTATTTGACAGAGAGACAGCAAGAGAGGGAACACAAGCAGGGGGAGTGGGCGAGGGAGAAGCGGGCTTCCCGGAGCAGGGAACCTGATGCGGGGCTTGATCCCAGGACCCTGGGATCATGACCTGAGCCGAAGGCAGAGGCTTAACGACTGAGCCACCCAGGCGCCCCAGGGATTTTTTAAACCAAAATGTATTCAGTTCAATACTAGAGTATACATGCTTATCAAGAAACTGTCTAGTTCTAGGGGTGCCTGGGTGGCCCAGTTGGTTGGGTGTCCAACTCTTGATTTCTTCAGCTCTGGTGTTGATCTCAGGTCGTGAGATTGAGCCCCATGTTGGGCTCTGCGCTGAGTGCAGAGCCTGCTTAAGATTCTCTCCCTCTCCCTCTACCCCTCCTCCCCAACCACCCCCCCACTCACACATGCACTCTCTCAAAAATAAAAAATTTTAAAAAATTAAAAAAAAAAAAGAAATTAGTTCTGTAAAAATTTCAGTTTTGCAAAGTCAGAAACTTAATTTTATCTAGTTTGCCCCAAGTTGATGGGGCTCTTAGGGAGTAACATGCCATATGTTAGAGAGCTATGACCCCTAATTTGATGTTTACAGTGAATAAAATATCAACTTACTTGGGAAACCAGGTCAAAATATTGATGTAGCATAGGGTAAGAACAAAGGGACATTTTATCAAATAACGGAAAAGACTAAGGACGAAGTCTATTTTATAGCACTCTAGTCAAATGCTAGATACTGATACACTTGCATCTGACTGAGCCAGCCGGGCGCCCCTAGAACAGCCCCCTTTTAAATAGCTAAATAAATCTTTAAGCCTTATTTTGTTTGAATTAAAACAGAACTTAAACTCTTGGGCGCCTGGGTGGCTCAGTTGGTTAAGCGACTGCCTTCGGCTCAGGTCATGATCCTGGAGTCCCGGGATGGAGTCCCGGGATGGAGTCCCGCATCGGGCTCCCTGCTCGGCAGGGAGTCTGCTTCTCCCTCT